TCATCTCAACAATCGAAATCAGGTAACACATGGTCAGGGTATCTAGATCTGCTGGAATGCAAAACATTCAAAATGCTGATGCTGTTTGAACCAAAATATTGTGCCTTTTTTATTTTTAATGAAAGAGCTCACATTTCTGGTCCTGAAAAGTACTAGAAGCCATCTGTTCATTCAGGTTAATAATATGCAGTAGAAAAATGCAAAGACTGTTTTTTACTGTTTGGCAAATCTATTTATTAGATAATGTTTTATTTTGAGAACACATAAACTCAGACTACTGAAGGAGACTCAACAAAAAATTATGAAGAAAGCACAGGAAGTTCTTTAATTCTTCTCAGTTGCTATCTCACCATGAAGTATTCAAAGCCATTAAAAACAGATTAGTAGTTATTTACAGAAATATTAATTTCTGGAGGAAGCAGAAAACAAAGTGGGTGGAGGGGATTTTTTTTTTTTAAATTATGAAACCAGCTCATTTTCAGACTACTGCTTTGAGTCTTGATTCTTTACCTTAGATATCAACGCCCACTACCAAACTCAGCTAAGGAAAAAAGTGAAAAAGAGTTGATTGCAAGTCCTAAAACTGGACTTTATACCATATTTGTATAGAAAAACCCTAGGTTTTTAGGAAGCAAGCAAAGAAGCCAGGCTCTAATTTATTGCATTAGAGAGATGGGTAACGGGAGTGATGGTAATACTAGTTGTAATTGTTTAATGAAGGTAAGTAATTACTGCTGAATTCATGAGGTATGTTGCAGCAACACTGCAAAAACCCCACTTTAGTGTTGTAAGTAACAGCTACCTGCAAATGTATTCACAAATCAAAATGAAATAATGTATTCATTTAGGTGGCATGATATACTAAGTACATTATTTACTTGAAAGTCTTCCTCCTGCTGTTAAAAAAATAAACTAATTCTGTACTGAAACAAAACCAAAACCCAAGAATAAAACCACCTGATAAGGTAGTCAGATACCACGTCTTCTAGTGAGAGGAAATGAATTTGAGATCATCAAACTTCGGATCCTATGTGAGCTGAGTAAGAGCTGCCCCAAAGCTGAGCGAATGCAGGAGGGATGGGAGCAGCTGCAGCAATGGTCTCTGCCATGGCAAGGGCGTCTTGCCCTAGCTCACCTAGGGTTTTTAAAGCAGGAAGAAATTTCTCTCTAGTCTCAGGCTGGTTAACTTTATCACTTCTTCAGAGGACCCTGAAAGGCTGCCTTTTAGGATAAAAGGATTACGGGCAGGCACTTAAAATGTATAAAGTTAATAAGGTGATTTGTAATTAATTGTAAATTATGGCAATTTTGTGGTTTCTGTATCTAAAAAAGTCCTACTTCTTTCTTTACTAGAGGCTTGTGGAAAGGCTGACAGACATTTCAGTCTGGATGTAAAAGTAGGGTAAGATTTAAAGTTTCATAGGTTGTGACAACCCTTAAAATGCCCTCCCCACAATATATTTAAGGGGAAAGGATCAAAAAGATGATCCAGAGTGGAATAAAAATTACGAACTACAATAAAAAGGTCAAATACTGATTTCCTATGAAATTTACAAACACCAAGAATTTGGGCATTTTAATATTACTTTCATAACTCTTTTAACCTCTGCATACTCTATTTTTATGTTTCAACAAATGTTTAATAAAACTGTCACTTATAAAAAACATTCATTTTTCCTTTTCCAACATGGACCAATCAAGACTTGGGGTTTTGGTGTTTTTTTGTTTGTTTAGCTTGTTTAGGGCTTTTTACTGCTGTGATTTACAGTTCTTTGCATTTTACTTGCATCAATGCAACAATACATGGAAATAACTCACAGCAAATCACTGGTTTTGGATACAGCATAGTGAAGACCAGGTCACAAAACAGATGCTAAAACACCTATTGCATCTTATTTGTGATACCTGACCATCAAGAAAATATGAGAAATATTCCTGTTCTTTAAAGGCAGAAACTATACTTGAAGAAAATACTGTTTATAAATGCAAACCTCACAGCTGTACTTGTAAGATACATCTTTTCACACTTTGCCAATAATAATTTGTGGTTTATGGGACTCATATCACCAATAACTTAAAAACACAAATACCCTGTGCTACTTTCAGTGTTCTGGCCATCCATAGAACTGAGCAAACTGGAGAGATGCATATAAAATATTTGTGCTACACACGTAAATCCTTCTGCATAACTACCTTATATCTCTCATAGCACAGCAGAAGCAGAAAACCATATTTTTACCACATCTAGTGGTTACCTTAATTCAAAAGTGGTTACCTTAATTCAATTCTGAAGGTTTAATTTAAAAACGGAAGAAATAAATACTTGTATGTAGTTCATTATTAGGAAAAACCATCAAGGCAAAAGCAAAAAAGAGATTGACTTACTTCAACAATAACAATCCATATATATTTTAACTATAAATTTCTTATTTCTTTATGATCAATCTGTTTTGTTATGAGTTCAGTTGGACTTAATTCTTTGAGTAAAAGAAAGGTCTTA